CACTACTCCACATTTGGAGATAAAGTTTTATTATGATTATTTGTCAATCCAAAAGATAGGGCATTTCTAACAAAACTTTACTCATACAAGTAAAATCACATTGAATCCAGTTGGATTACTCATATAACCAAGAGATTGTAGGACCAGGCCCATACACACATATAACATAACCTTATAATTAAGGCTATGATTATGTCATGGAAGTCACAGAATCCATGACTTCCAGAGACCTCTGTGGCATTTTCTGCTTCAGCCCCAGGGGCTGCGGGACTCTGGAGCTGGCAGCCAGCAGGGGCCCCAAAGGTCTCAGTTGCTGCAGGTGGCAGGGCCTCCCGCAGCACCCAGCTGCTGTGAGCGGCCCCACGCCTACCAGCCACTGGCCCCGCAGCTCCGAGCCGCTGTGGGGGGACCTCCACAGCTCCGAGCAGCGGCCGGGGTATCCTACAGCCACCCCAGCAGTGGGCGCTGGACCCCCCATTCCCCCCACCCCATTTTGTCACAATTATTTTTAGTAAAAGGTCAGGTCTACTACTGGACAGGTCACGGGCTTCCTTGAATTTTTGTTTATTGCCCATAACCTGTCTGTGACTTTTACTAAAAATAACTGACAAAATCTTAGCCTTACTTATAATTATATCTATTTTTTTCCTGCAAAGTTACCCGCATTTTGAGACTGCTATATATTACAATCAGTTTCAAATCTAGGGTCTAATTCTCATTAACACTAAGGTTTCAGATATTTATGCCCATTTTAATACCTTTTACGCTGCCAGAGTGATATAAAGGGATTTTAGCATAAATGAGAGTCAGACCCATAGAATAGATCTTTCAACATCTCACTCAATAGGTTGCAAGACTCTGTATACATCTCAGATCTATTTAAACTAGATGAAAAACTAGTACTGCATATAAACACAAAAGCTTTGTTAAGGTGAAGTTATGATTGCAGCCACCTATTAGTATTTTGATTGTATAGCATCTTTTGAGAACCTAGTAGTTAAAAATGTTAGAAACCCAGGAAATGCAGCGGATGTAGCAGAGCCATTCACCAATGAGAATAAAAGAAGGGTTTATACGAAAGACATGATGATTGTATGAAAAGTCCTTCACTGAAACTAATCTTAAGTTATAGCTAGGCCCAAACAACTCCCACAAGCACACACCAAAGAGCTAGTTTGGTCCTTCTGCCCACGTGGCAAAGGTAGAGATCTGAGCAGTCCCTTGCCTCACAGGACTATGTCTTGTTATGTATTCTTTCGCAATTCTGCATGTGGTTTAGATCCAGAAAGAGCCAGCAGTACTTGACCTGAACACTCAAAACTAAAAAGGATGGAGATATTATGACCCCTCTAGAGCATTCCAGTACCAGAGACCAAGAGGCTCATTGGTATCTTATAATGAGTTTCAGATGGCCTGGCCAATTCAATGTACTCCAACTCATGGGGGTTATAATCTGTATATAAAAGGTGTCATGCACTGTGGTTTTGGAAAACTATTAACTCACTTATCATTAATATTCCTGTGGGATGTATGTATGCGGTCTGTACTAAGGGCTGTGTATATACACTGGAATGATGACTAAAATGTGTTTAAGGCAGGCAAGTCTTGGGGAGTTGGTAAACAGGACTGCCCTAGACAAAGGAATGTATTTGCTTCTCTCACCAGCCCACTCATCAGGCAGGGACAATGAAGGTCAATTCATATAGAAGGTAAACAAAGGTATCAAGCTAGCAAGTGGGAAAGGTGATAGCTTCTAGCAGGAAAGAGAAACTTTATCTGGACTATAAAGAAGGATCTGAACCTCAAGTGGCAAGCAATTGAATCACCTGATTATATACACTATATTACTGTATTATAAAAGGTTATCAAGTAAGGTGTTTCCCAAAAGGCTCTGATATACTGGTAATTAATATCATAGTAAAATGTATGCATTAACACTATATAAGGAATTATGAATATTCATGGATATTAGGCTTCACAGTCTGTATCCAAACAAAGGGAGAAACAGGGCTCTTCCAGACAGGAGGGAAATGTCACAGATGGAATGTCACCTGTCTACAATGTAAACTAAATATGGTGGAATCAAAACCCTGGAAACCCCATTTACATACAGAGGGATGTGAAGCCCACAGGAAGGGAAAAAAACCATGAAGTCATCCTGCCTCTTGAAATAAGGTCATTAAACTTTGGAAGATATAAGCATGGGTGGCGGGTACAATAGGCTGGGGGAGGCTCTGCCTCTCCAAATACCCAGGTGAGACTCTGCCTATGCCCTGTCCCCAGGCAGCCGCCTCCTGCTTCCTGCTCTGTGGCTCTTCCCTTGTCTGTGCTGTGGCCCCGGATTGGGGTGGGGCTGGCAATGGGCCTGGAGCTGGGCCCGCGCCACCCGCCCGGTGCTCCAAGGGGTGGGGGCGCTCCAGGGCTGGGTGCACGGGTACCATACCATCTGCCCACCCAGCACTCCGGGGCTGAGGAAGCTGGGCCCATGCTGCCCACCAGCTGCTCTTTGGGCTGGGTGGGGGGGGGCATGATGGCGGGGGCCATACTACCTGCCCTCACGGCGCTCCAGGGCTGGGGCCGCTCTGCCACCCATCTGCCTGCTCAGAGCTCTGGGACTGGGGATGCTAGCTTGGGGCGGGAGCTGGCAGCTGTGGTTGGGGGGCTCTGGGCTCCGGTGGAGGGACACAGAAGGGGAGGTGCCTTGGGCAGAAGAGGCAGGCAGTTTGCACACCGCCCATGGATATAATAAGCAAGGACAGAAGCCATCTTTGGCATCCAATCATTAGACAGACACAAGGGAACAGAGTTCTTGCAAGCTGAAAAAGTTGGGTCCCAGCGGGGCGGGTAGAAGTCTCTGGGAACTGAATATGGGGAGAAACCTGCTTAGGCAAAGATCTTTCACCTTACAAGGTAAGAGGTGACAACCCCTTACCGGCCTGGATTGCATCCAGATCCTGAACTGTGACAGACAAAGTCCAAATTTTCCAAAATGACTAGTGATTTGGGGTGCCTCAGTTGCTGGATGCCCAATGTGAGACACCTTAAGACACCTTGATTTAAAGAAAATGCTGGGCACCCACCTGAAAATATCTGCCAGCGCTACCCTTACGAAAGATTATGCCCCAGATTTTAAAGGGAATTTAAGTGTAGTTGTGCTCAGCTTTGTAATACATAACTGATTTAGGCACTTCAGAAAGTAAGATTTAGGCTCCTAAATCAGTTAGACATTGCAACACTGAGTGTAGCAACACTTGATACCTTTAAAAATTGGGGCCAGTGTCTAAATGGCACACTCAAACCCATGACAACATCCATAGCTTCATCCACTCATCACCCATTTTGGAGCAGGTGCCTCGGCCTGCTCTGTATTTGCCCATGGTGTGAAAATGTCAAGTGGTTTCACACCTATAGTTTCAAAATTAGCCACTTATCTTGGGTGCCCAACTTGAGACATCTTGGGTCTGATTTTTATTGCTGCTAAACACCTGCAGCTCCCACTGAATGTAATTGGATTTGTGGGTGCCAGGGACCCTTGAATTGAAGCAGTGGGTGTTCAGCACCTCTGAAAAACACTTCCAAAGTGTTTCCAGTTGAGCGTTCAAAGGGTGAATCACCTAAAATAAGTGGTCATTTTTTAAACTGCGGTCCTCAACTGTGTGCATGGCAGACTGTGTACAATTCTAGGCTTTATGTGTGAAACTATAGTGGGTAACATTTTCCAGTGCTATGCCATGAGGATTTTGTACTGCAGTTCTGTGACAATGAAGGTTTATGTGTCAAAAGCAGAGCTGGGCAGAAAATGGTAATTCTGTTTCCTGGAGGATACTGAAATTCAGGTTCATTCCAATTCAGAACAAAAAGCCCCCTACACACCAAAAATTTTGAGATTCTGCACAAAACACAATCACGGTTCTCTTCCCAGCTCTCGAGCCCTGGAGCCAGGAAGCCCTGCAAGCCCAGGCTGCTCAGGAGCTGGCTGGGAGACCTGGCAAGAAACCTGGCTGGTGTCCAGTGGAATTGTGTTGACATGAGTGGAGTCACATGAAACCTTTTAATTTTGACCAAAAAAAGTGGTGTCAATTTTTTTTTCAGTCCAGCTCCAGCAAAAAGGCTAATATGGAAAGTGCTGTAACGGGTCTCGTTACTTCAAAGTAGAGTTCTGGCAAGAACCTTGCTTATAATGAAGACCCACAGGTCTTGAACTCGGGTCTGTTGGCAGCTTTCGTGTCCTGGTCGCCATCCGGTGGCTTGCTAATCACTCGCGGGCTGAGTGGCTAATGGAATCCTGGCCCCAGCAAAGGCACTGCTCACAGCGTCTTGACTGGAGGAGCGCCCAGCTCTACCTCTTGATCTGACCATGCTTTTTAAGCTGGAAGGAGGCACAGGAAGTTGTCTGTGCAACTGGGCAGATTCCTGGCTGGCTGCTACCTTGGACCCTGCCTTCTTGCCCTCCTGAGCCTAGCTATTCTGACTTGTCCCTAATTCCTGCTTTGTCGATACTTGCCTCAACTCCTGACTTGACTCAGGCTCTGACCCTTGGGTTGATGTCTGACTCTGACTCCTGCTCTGACCACTAGGGATGACCACCAAAGCCCTGGTCGTGACGCTTACTGCTTTCCCTGAGAAATGATACCAGAGCTAAGCACATTTTAATTTAATTTTAGTAGTTTTACACAGGATAAAAGTCTGATTAATGAAACTTAACTTATGTGGACCCCTTAAAGATACTTCTTCATATTGGTCTCATAGCCACGGCTGTCTGTGCTTGCTTTGACGGAACTCAGAGTATGGTGACATCCAAGATAGGCACTTCAATGTCTGAAATGCTCCTTAAATAGAACAAACAGATCAGCATGACTTAGTGATAAAATTACCTTCTGGTTCACAGGCTCTCCAGCATGCAACTGCACTATAGGGAACTCAGCACATCCCTCTGTGCGTAATATAAACAAACACAGTTGAGAATAGACATAAGTGAGACATATACAAAAGAAGAGAGCATGGAAGAAAGGATTACTCGGGCTGCGGCTGCCAAGTTAATGAAAAAAGATTTTCTTGAAGCTCTAAAATCAAATGACTACAAAATGCTGGAAGATCTTTTGATACAAAAGCAAATAGATGTGGACACAGTGTTCGAAGTGGAAGATGAGAACCTGATTTTGGCATCATACAAGCAAGGTAAAAGCAGCAGCTCCTGCTGCTGCATTTGCAAAATCTAAGCAAACTGGTCTTAGTAACTTACTTTTGCAGAAGCAATTGTCATGTTTTATCCCTCCAAAATGTTAAGGCTTAAATTGACTCATGAGCTATGACCTACATAACTAGTCAAAAGTAGCTCAGCCTTATGCTTCTTAGAGTAGCCGCTGATAATCCCAAATATATTTATATGGAGATTAAAAATGAATGGGTTCATACTGCTCCCTTCTCTGTGGCAGTGTAAGTCACCAGGAGCTGAATAACTGGTGTGGTACCGCTGCAGTATGCCTCCTATTTCAGAGGCTCCTTACATCTTGTCTGGTGGTTTAGGTTGGGGGTAGGCTCACCACCATCCTCAGAGCTGTAGGTTCAGGAAAGCCTGGAGAAAGGACTCCTTTGCTCTTCCGCCCCCTCCCCCCGCAGAGAACCCTAGAGCACAGCCAGAATATGTAAATACATTGGTATATATAAATTCCCTCTACATACCCAATCAATCCACTTGAAAAAGCCAACCCAGAAACATAGGTTGTTTCAAGTTTCAGAGGAACAGCCGTGTTAGTCTGTATTCGCAAAAAGAAAAGGAGTACTTGTGGCACCTTAGAGACTAACCAATTTATTTGAGCATGAGCTTTCGTGAGCTTCAAGCTTCCCATTTTCAGCTTTACAGATTCCCTTTAGTTCAATCCCCAGGAAATGCCCTAGGCCTCGAATGTTATTTGATGGGAGAGGTTTTCTTTTTCAAAGTCATAGAATTGGGATGCCATAGTCTATTGTCAAATCAGAATAAGTAATCTATTGTCACCCTGGGAAACCAGTCAAAACAAACACTTCATCCCTAGAATCCTCTTCAGAGGGTGGAAAAAAATAAACAAGCTCATAGCTAGGCCCTGACCAACTTCCAACAAATTTATGTCTGAAAGCAATAAAGCAGGTTTTATGCTCAGCTAGCATCAAAACATCCCAATGCTTATTTTCTGCGAGATTTCTCTCGTGAATCTAAGATTCAGTAAGCAGCTGTCTTTTCCAGTTGTTAAACACACATGGAAATAAACATCTTCAGCTCAATCTCTCAGCTAGTACAACAAATAACCTTTTCTTGTCCATGTCTGAAGGGCTACTAATCTCACCTTTGCCTATTTCCTGGGTATCTGATACATGGTTTTTGCTTCTCTGGTTTCAAAGAGACAATGGTGATTCGCAATCAATATTTGTTTTACTTGGATGGGATCTGAACAATCTCACACAGTGATGAATATAGCAACTTAAAATATTGTCTCTTGTATTGCTCTCAGACTAAAGGCTAAAGAAGGTTTGTGTGTTCCTACAAATTTAACCCATCTTATTTAAAATGTGCAAATTGAATGAAGACAGCCATAGATCTATATCCTTTGGAGGGGTCTTTCCTCCCTCATGAGGCACATGCACCTGTCTCCCCAAATCATAACAATGCATTTATTCTCTTTGTTGGTTGAGGGCATTCCACTGACTCTAGGGGAAATCCTGTCTTTGTTGAATAGCCTGAATAACTAGACTTTGATAAAGGGAGATCCAGGAGGGCAGAAAGAAACGATCCTCATGAAGACCCTGATCCTTCACCATTCAACTCAATGGGAGCTTTGCCAGGAGCTTTGTAGGATCAGAATAGGATGATACTGTACCCCCATGGCTGATCTGTTTCCTCCCTTCAGGGAATGGCTGGTGGATTCAAGTAGGACTAGTCTGCTCTGCCCAAATTCTTTCACTTTCCTGTTCCTGGACCACTCCTGGAAATGTCCTGTGCCTTGGGGCACAAGCAGCCTCTATGAAGCAAAACTATAAAAATGGTATAGTGGTGTTTCATGCTTGCTCTTGTGTATTTAGCAAGAGCTTCCATATCAAATTTCTACCATTTATAGTTTACAAATAAGAATTTTCTAGCCACCAATTCACAGGCTCAGCTTGGTATCTGAAAAATCAAAGCAGAGCTCTTTCTGTACACCACAGCTCATTGGCAACAAAAACGTCTGGAATATGAATGGTTTCAGAGGAACAGCCGTGTTAGTCTGTATTCGCAAAAAGAAAAGGAGTACTTGTGGCACCTTAGAGACTAACCAATTTATTTGAGCATGAGCTTTCGTGAGCTACAGCTCACTTCATCAGATGCATACCGTGGAAACTGCAGCAGACTTTATATATACACAGAGAATATGAAACAATACCTCCTCCCACCCCACTGTCCTGCTGGTAATAGCTTAATAAAGATGGACTACAAGCCGTCAAGAACACTATCCCCGATAATGTCACGGCTAACCTGGTGGCTGAACTTTGTGAATGGAAAAGCAGCATCACTTGCCCCATAACCTCAGCCATGCGGAACACAATGCCATCCACAGCCTCAGAAACAACTCTGACATCATAATCAAAAAGGCTGACAAAGGAGGTGCTGTTGTCATCATGAATAGGTCGGAATATGAACAAGAGGCTGCTCGGCAGCTCTCCAACACGAGTTTCTACAAGCCATTACCCTATGATCCCACTGAGAGTTACCAAAAGCAACTACAGCATTTGCTCAAGAAACTTCCTGAAAAAGCACAAGATCAAATCCGCACAGACACACCCCTGGAACCCCGACCTGGGATATTCTATCTACTACCCAAGATCCATAAACCTGGAAATCCTGGGCGCCCCATCATCTCAGGCATTGGCACCCTGACAGCAGGATTGTCTGGCTATGTAGACTCCCTCCTCAGGCCCTACGCTACCAGCACTCCCAGCTACCTTCGAGACACCACTGACTTCCTGAGGAAACTTCAATCCATCGGTGATCTTCCTGATAACACCATCCTGGCTACTATGGATGTAGAAGCCCTCTACACCAACATTCCACACAAAGATGGACTACAAGCCGTCAAGAACACTATCCCCGATAATGTCACGGCTAACCTGGTGGCTGAACTTTGTGACTTTGTCCTTACCCATAACTATTTCACATTTGGGGACAATGTATACCTTCAGATCAGCGGCACTGCTATGGGTACCCGCATGGCCCCACAGTATGCCAACATTTTTATGGCTGATTTAGAACAACGCTTCCTCAGCTCTCGTCCCCTAAAGCCCCTACTCTACTTGCGCTATATTGATGACATCTTCATCATCTGGACCCATGGAAAAGAAGCCCTTGAGGAATTCCACCATGATTTCAACAATTTCCATCCCACCACCAACCTCAGCCTGGTCCAGTCCACACAAGAGATCCACTTCCTGGACACTACAGTGCTAATAAACAATGGCCACATAAACACCACCCTATACCGGAAACCTACTGACCGCTATTCCTACCTGCATGCCTCCAGCTTTCACCCTGACCACACCACACGATCCATCGTCTACAGCCAAGCTCTGCGATACAACCGCATTTGCTCCAACCCCTCAGACAGAGACAAACACCTACAAGATCTCTGTCAAGCTTTCTTACAACTACAATACCCACCTGCAGAAGTAAAGAAACAGATTGATAGAGCCAGAAGAGTTCCCAGAAGTTACCTACTACAGGACAGGCCTAACAAAGAAAATAACAGAACGCCACTAGCGGTCACCTTCAGCCCCCAACTAAAACCCCTCCAACGCATTATTAAGGATCTACAACCTATCCTAAAGGATGACCCAACACTCTCACAAGTCTTGGGAGACAGGCCAGTCCTTGCCTACAGACAGCCCCGCAACCTGAAGCAAATACTCACCAACAACCACATACCACACATCAGAACCACTAACCCAGGAACTTATCCTTGCAACAAAGCCCGTTGCCAATTGTGCCCACATATCTATTCAGGGGACACCATCACAGGGCCTAATAACATCAGCCACACTATCAGAGGCTCGTTCACCTGCACATCCACCAATGTGATATATGCCATCATGTGCCAGCAATGCCCCTCTGCCATGTACATTGGTCAAACTGGACAGTCTCTACGTAAAAGAATAAATGGACACAAATCAGATGTCAAGAATGATAACATTCATAAACCAGTCGGAGAACACTTCAATCTCTCTGGTCACGCAATCACAGACATGAAGGTCGCTATCTTAAAACAAAAAAACTTCAAATCCAGACTCCAGCGAGAAACTGCTGAATTGGAATTCATTTGCAAATTGGATACTATTAATTTAGGCTTAAATAGAGACTGGGAGTGGCTAAGTCATTATGCAAGGTAGCCTGTTTCCTCTTGTTTTTTCCTACCCCCCCCCCCCCCCCCCGATGTTCTGGTTTAACTTGGATTTAAACTTGGAGAGTGGTCAGTTTAGATGAGCTATTACCAGCAGGAGAGTGAGTTTGTGTGTGTATGGGGGTGGGGGGGATGTGAGAAAACCTGGATTTATGCAGGAAATAGCCCGACTTGATTATGTAAAGAGTTGTCACTTTGGATGGGCTAGCACCAGCAGGAGAGTGAATTTGTGTGGGGGGGTGGAGGGTGAGAAAACCTGGATTTGTGCTGGAAATGGCCCACCTGTTGATCACTTTAGATAAGCTATTACCAGCAGGACAGTGGGGTGGGAGGAGGTATTGTTTCATATTCTCTTTGTATATATAAAGTCTGCTGCAGTTTCCACGGTATGCATCTGATGAAGTGAGCTGTAGCTCACGAAAGCTCATGCTCAAATAAATTGGTTAGTCTCTAAGGTGCCACAAGTACTCCTTTTCTTTTTGGAATATGAATCTAGCTGGCCAACTTTGTAGTTGATATATGAGTCAGGCAACTTGCTCTTCTGCATCTATTTAGGATGTGCCATACTGGCTGTAATAAACACTTGTATTTCTCCGCAATATAAATAGATGCATCTTGGAAGCAGATAGGCGCAGTATTAGAATGCTGCATTCACAGCTACTTTTATGAGTAACATTTAAATGAAAATTAAGCATTTTATAGAGTTTGTTTTTAAAAACTACATTACCAAACAAAGCATATTCTAGATATGTATTTGCCAATTTAATTATGAGAATGAATTACTCACTGAAAAAGAACAAACATTACAAGAAGAAGTTATATACTACCCATTCCTATTTTTCCCTCTCTTTAATACAGTATATATGTATAATGCAACTATGTTAATGTTACATTAAAGATGAACATTTAAAGTCATGCATGCTAGGAAGTACAGAAATTAAGGTTCCAATTAACTTGCTCCCAATGTACATCCTGAATATTTTTTGGGTATGCATTTTATGCCATAGAAGTATTAAGCCTATGGATTTATCCACCATGCAGGGAGGAGAACGGCAGAGGTTGGGGGAGACAGAAATAGAAAATGTTATATATGTGCAATGAAGTGCAATCGTACATATTACATTTCCTGAATTTTAACTGAAAACTTATCTTTGTCTTAATGTACATTTTTGTACTTAGAAGGGGTATTGGTTAGAGAGCAGGACACAAGGTCTGTAACTCTGCTGCTCCTGCTCCAGATTATTATTTTATTTTACTTTTATACAGATTATTGAAATCACCACTTCTGAGATGGTCTGTGTGCAATCATCAAGAAACAGGCATGTTTTGGGTACAATATGGGGATGCTGATGGGGAACACACTAAGTTCACTATGGACGCTGTGCTGTGTGGAGAAGATAAAACAGTTGTGCACATTTCTAAATTCTGCTTTTTTAATGTGGGTGCTGTTGTGTCCTGCTGAGTGCTGGCCAGTAGGTTTGGCCTTAATGCCACCAGACATCCCCTCGTGAACCTCTTGCTTAGCTCAGGACTGGCAAAAATGACACATTTGATTTAGCGCCATTCTAATTTTGGTGGCTTGATGACCAGTGCCATGAGGAGAATCCACCTCAGAACAGTAGTGAGGACTGATGATCAGGCCACTGTGTTTAAGAGCACCACCTTCTGGTCAGTGTTGGGGAAGAAACTGGGAGAGTGAGATGGGAATCAGGAGCAGCAGCAACCACCCTGCTCCTTCACCCTCCAGGCCCAGAAGGAAAATGTCAGTGACGGCCATGATGCTGTTTTCAAGTGTAATGGGTTCCGTAACGTGAGCCTGTGTTTCAAAGGAAAAAAAAATACCACTGTTGCAAGATATTGCTACATGGTAAAATGTCGAGGGAAGAGAGGGTATCAGCAACATTGCCAGAAAGAACAGTGAACATTTTTGGAACCAAATTTCATGCAAAAATGTCACTGCCGTCACACGGACCTACACACCAGCTAACTTACTGCGTTGTTGTAACACCCAGCTGTACACTTGCAAAGGGTGGCAGGTGACAGTACGTCCGCAGTACTGCTGCAGCTACGTTGCAAGGGGGCAGCCGTGCAACGTGCATCGTGAGCCCTTCCACAGGAAGGCAGCACCCAGACCCTGATGTGAAATCCTGAGATCTCCTACCCAAGAACAACATGATGTGCTACCTGTTGAGTCAGAGGTCTAACTAAGAGTCCTGCATTAGAACCTAGGGGTGCGATACTCAGCTCTCATTAGACATACTCGTGCTAGCTCTCCTTGATGCGGTGTGCTAAAAACGGTCATGCACCCACAGTAGCAAGGGCAGCAGCAAGTGGTGGCAATGGGCTAGCTGACCTGAGTACAAACCCACCAGAACTCCCCCTCACCACAGCTAGCCGGTGCTGCCTCTTGCTGCTTCCCATCCTACCCCAGCTACACTGCTATTTTTAGCTCACTAGCTCAAAGAGAGCTAGTGCGTGTCCATCGTGAGCTGGGAAGCAGACCATCAACTCCTAGTGTGGACGTAGCCTGAGTGCTGCTTTTTATTCGAATGTAGAGTTTGCTTAGCTCTTTCCAGATCCTATTCCCCCCTCCCCCCCCCCCCCGTATGTTTCAGCTGGCATTTCAAAGGCTTTAGGACTTTTTATTCAGTCTTGGAGGTTGCAGGAAGAAAAAACTACCCTCGGAGTACAGTTACATGGCAATTCATCTGTTCAAAAAGCAATCCATTCAGCCTGCATGCTGGCAGTGCTTAATGAAAGTAAGGTTATTACTCCAGAGCACTTTGCATACACTAGACCCTAACTGATTAAATTATATTAAAATAAATTAAAGCTTAACTACAACACCCTTCTGCCCCCCTCCAATTAGTCTTATTTAGTGGCTCATCTGGAAGATTCTTATTCAAGGCTGGTAATGCATCTTCACTTTTTACAGGATATTGGCTGCCTAGTTATAAGTTAAAATCATCTTGGGCCACTGGACTGCATATATCAACCCTATATGGACATCTGGAGAGCCTCATGGTACTGTTAGATCACAAAGCGGCCGTCAACTACAAGCCAAATGGGAAAGCTGCTATCCACGTGGCATGTGATGTGGCAAATGTTGAGTGTCTCATGATCCTGTGCAACCACGGAGCTAACATTAACTGCTTTTCACTGAGCGGCCACGCACCCTTACACTTCTGTACCACAAAGGCCTCTGTACCTTGTGCCCAGCAGCTCATTTGGAGAGGTAAGTCAGACTATAACTTAGACAGTCAAGTACCTCTGAGGTTTAGCAGGAGTTTAAGGGTCTGTATTATGTTGTTCAGAAGCAAATAATCATATTTCATGCTTGTATAGCCCCCTAGTGCTTCACAAACGATACATATAGAGCCCCACCAAAACAAAGCCAACTCGGAGGAGGGCAGCAGTCCAGCTGCAGTTTGGAGAGCCGGAAATTTCAATCCAGGGCCCCAGGGCAAACCGCTTCTCATGCCAAAAGTGGTCTTTAATGCCCACACAGAGCATGCAAGGCCTCAGCTGTAAAAATAAATGCACACAGCCATAATATGCACTGGCATTTGTATCTTTGATAAACTGAGAGTGTTTTTCATTTGAGTTCACCCACCCTGAAACCTACAGCTTTGTCCTTGTCCAGAAGTTACAGGAAGTGTCTGTGTGTGTATGTATATGTACGGGGGGGAAGGTGGGGGAGATTCCCCTTGACTTCAATGGACGCAGGATAGGCCCTTAAAATAACTGCAAAGGAAAAAAATAAAATCAATATTACTTACAGCCTCCCACCCCCAAGCTGTCTTCAAATACTCAAAAGTTAGGAAATACCACAATTATTGTTGCCTGTGCAAAACTCGTCTTGTCCCTTTGTACATATATGTTATGATACAGTCTATAATTACATGATCCCAGGACCTCTGCCTCCTTAAGCACCGGACGGATAGTACTCGGAATGAATGAATGAACCGCTTATTCAGTAGCTTGTTTTATTCTTGTTAATTGTGTGGCCCGCGGCTTTATTTACTGCAGACTCTGGGTCTCGGTCCAGGCTCTGAAAGCATGCTCTGAAGACAATTATTGCTTTCTGTCATGAGGTCTCTCACCCCACTGGTGCCTCCTGCTGGCCATTTTGGGACTTAGCTCTGGTCAGCAGGTGTGCCCTCTGATGGGGTGAGTCTCCCATCCTTGTCTCTGCCTGAAGACCCACTGCAGTTCCACTCTCACGGCTTCTGCTTCATGGCACAGCCCTCCGGCCGTGTCACACTCCAGGTTCCCCCCTTCTGTGGGGACTTCTTTTGCAACAGTCGAGCTGTTTCTTGCAATGGTTTGGAAATCTATAGCCTGGCTGCTTTTTCAGTGGCAAGTGGGGGTCCCAGCCCAGGGACCCTGTAAACAACAGCTTTCCACTACCCCTCCTTTTTCTCCACCAGTCTGTCTCAATTCCCTGGGCCACTTTCCTGCAGCCCCAGCACCTTTGGCTCCTGCACCCTGTTCCCAGAGTCTCAGGCCTGCAAGCCCTAGCAGCCCTGTTCACAGAGCTACTCTGTAGCCCCCTAGGAAGCTAGCCCCCTCCTTAGGGCTTCCAGTAGCATACTCCCTTGGTCTGGCCTGTAGCTTCCTTTCATATGGGCCAACTGGGTCCACAATGGTTGGTCCAGCCGCTGCCCTAATTGGCTGCAGCCACTGCCATAATTGGCTGTTTTCTTGCAGCCCTCCAGGCTGGGTTTTAACCCTATCAGGGCCAGTGCAGGGCAGATGCCCTGTCACACTTTTCTTCTAGGCTTTTCCATGGCACTCATTAGTATAGTATCTGAGCACTTCACAAACACTATTGAATTTATTTTCACAATACTTCTCTGAGATGAGCTGGTTTCATTATCCCCATTTTACAGATGCAGAATAGAGAGGCAGAGAGACTAAGGTCAAAAGTGTCCACTAATTTTGGTCAATTTGAGACTGCTTTTTCAGAGTATTTAATACTATATAGCACTTTCTATGTTCAAACCACAGCTCCCATTGACTTCAATTGCCGCTGTGATTACTCAGCGTTTCTGCAAATCAGACTCTAGGGTATCAAGTCAGGCATCTTGAAAATGAGGGACACCCAATTAGTGACTGTTTATGAAAAGTTTGATGCAAGTGATTTGCCTTGTATCACATAGGAACCCTGTGACAGAGACAGGGATAAAATCCAGTTCTCCAAAGCAGTATTCAATTGCCTTAACCATGAAACCATGCTTTGTCTTCCTGCAGTCCCTTGCATGCCTTCTGGCATGGCCAGGTCATGGGTGACCAGACCTAGTAGTTGGAGCCCGAATCTGCAGTCACGAGCAAGGACTCCTGCGTTGGGATACTAGGAGTCTTAGAAGCAGGAGACAAACTGGAGATCAGAACCACAAGTTGGGAACCAAAGTCTAGGATGAGTCAGGCTACCAGCGGGTCAGAGGCAGGAGACAATCTGAAGGTCAGCAACAACAGGTCAGATGCCAGGAGTCAAGTTGGGTCGGAATGCCAGGAAATTGAGCAGGGTAGTACAAGCCGCACAGCCCTGAGCAGGGTGAAACTTAGTTGTTCAGATAGCTTCCTGTTCCTGCTGCTGGCTAATCAGCTTTGTGACTCTGCCAATTGGACCTCAGGGTGGGACCTCACAGTGGGGCTGGGCTTTATGGGTTTCAGGTAAGCTATCGCTAGCAGGCTGCTAGATGGAGGATTGGTGCAAGGCTACACCCATGAACCTTGCGGGCTTGTGTTTGAGACTCCTGAGTGATGGTGTATTCTGCAATAAATGAAGTAAGGGTACTGCAGGATAGCACTTTCTTAATTTCCGACCTCTGCACTGAATGAAGCAGGGATCTCATTCATAAAAAACAAAAAGTGATCATTCAATTAAAGTCTGTATTATAATGCATACGCACAGATAGCCTGAATTCTGCCATTGCTTAACTTTTGAGTGTTTGGCTTTGTAACCATAATATTTTTAATATAGTTTTGTGTGTGTGATTTCCTAGGTTTTTTTAAAAAGCAACTGGAAAAACAGATATGCCATCATGTTGACACACACATGGGTCATCAGCAGGGTTGAACTCTTTAGATGCACTACACAGAACTCTGCCACTTGAGTTAACAGAGTAACTGATAGCAGTAGTAGGTTGTTATCCTCCTTGTGGACCACCACTAGCAGGGAATGAGTCACTTTGCCAGAGGGTTTCACAGATATCTGCTGACAGCAGAGAAATAGTAAGATTCAGAGATCTTGGGTTCCATTCCATTCCATTCCACTCCATCTCTGGAGGGGATTGTGCTCTCCTGGGCATAGACTATTATGCCCATTCCCCCAGACATGGCCCTTTCTGCCCCTTCCTCTCCAACCTATTCCTATCCTAGTCCTGTCTCATCCCCATGCCTGGCTTCTCCTCACTTAGCCACTCCCAGTCTCTACTCCTCAGGCTTCTCATCCTAGTTCCAGTCTCCTTGCCCTGTAAATTCTAGTCTCCCCCTCGCCCCCTGGAATTCCCCCACCCTACCACCTGTTCTGTATCCTGTCTCTTCTGCATCTGATTTAGGCAGCTTCCTCCCTGCAGTCTGGGACCAGCCGAGAGTGGGGGTGAGGGACAGTGAGAGCGCAGGAGAGAGACAGTCTCCCTGCTCTCAGTTCTGGTGCCTGGACTCAGACCCACCAAGGCTTGGAGCAGCCAGAAACTGCAATTTCAGGGAAAACCCTACAGCCATAGTCTGGAGCATGCTCAGTGCAGGCGGAGTAAGCTGCAAGTCTCAACTGAGCATGTGCAAACTGTGATTTTTAAAAACTGTATAACTTAGCCAAAGTTGGGCCAGTTTTCATATGGATGGGAAAAGGCCCAACCTGACACAAAGGCCAAATGTAAAGTCCTTGCTCCCAAGCGTGGGGATGCAAGAGCTGCTGAAGGCAAAGGTAATTGGAGCCATATATTTTTCCCTAGCTTTGTACTTGGAAATAGCTGACTGAAATTTTCCAATAAACATTCAACCTTAGACAAACACTCAGCATGGGAAATTTCAGCCCAAATGCTTGAAGCATGGCAACTGAAAACAGGGTCTTATAATGGAAAGAGTGGGGTAATTAAATAATAGGCAGTGCTATCAGTCCCACCTATTATCAGAATCATGGCAAATGCAAGTGATTTGGTTTCATTTGCTATATATGTCATTACTGCAGACCTTTCCTTAGCCTGAGTTCTCAGAGCCAGCATATGCTCTGGGCAAAGCAATCTATGATCCCAAAAAAATTACCACACCACTTTCCTTCGGCTGGAAGGTACCTATTCTTTTGTTTAGTAGAAAAGAAAATTAATGCCATCAATTTTATTTTGCCTGAAGCCAATAATCCTGACAATGGGTGTTAGATTCGCTACCATAGGAAAGCATAAAAAGTCAAATGTGCTCTTGCAAATGCAGTGTAAGATGCATGTAAATGAAAGTATGTATTCTAAAGGCTTCCTCCTCCCATTTATCACTAACATAATAATACCTTATGTGACAAGTGACTACAATTACAGAGCCTCCTTTCATCCAAAAGCACTTTATAAACTTAAACTCCTATGCAAACTAAATATCGAGACTCTACACAAAATGGAACCACCTCTGGGGTGAAATATGGCAGCTGATTAACAGGGCATGGCAACACTACACAATCAGACATGCCTTCAACTAACATGCTGGTACTGAAGGCTCAGAGATGTACCTCTCACTCCTGCCCTCACCTGACTCACATTGCCAGTTGTCTCTGATACCTCTGCCTGCATGTCCCAGCAACAACTCAAGCTCGGTGTAACTAAAACTGAGCTTTTCATCTTTCTCTGTTTCCCCCTTCTCTGTTAATGTTAGCAAATCTCCTGTCCCTTAGCCTGATGAGCCAGACCTAATTTTTCACACTGCTTTCTCCTCATCCATTCTTGATGCTTGCACAAAATCCTGCCTGTGCTAGCAAGGGTGGAAAATTTTACAGGAATCAGCCCACTGTAGACATACCCATGTAGGGGCTTCCATAGGACTGAGCATCAGGAAATCTCCGATGCTTGCACTTACCCTCTTCCGTGCTCCCTATTCTGCTGAGTTTGATTCTCCTCCCTTTTAGGAAGTGGAATCTGTCAACTTGTTTATAAACAGTGTTTAATTTTGCTTCTGCAATGGCTTGCAATTACTTGGGGCAGACTGTCTGTAGCTAGGATGGAGTGAGATGGTCAGAGACTCAGCCACAGTAATCAGAAAATAAAGACACCCCCAATGATTTTGGCAGGAACAACACAAATAGCAAGAACGGCTGTATGCTCCTTTTCCTTTGGCCATCATTCGGAAGCTGCAGACGCTGATTGCCCAGTAGATGGTACTGTTGTTTCAGCAGGAATATTAATTTAGGCCTGAATGCTGCAGTTCAGTTCAATGCTCCTATTACCAGCTTGAAAAAAGGGCCTGATCTTCAGCTGATGCCTTACGTGGAGATACACTGGTTTACAGCCCCTGAGGGTCTGGCTCAAAATGCTTTTCCTCCTAGGCTCCCTATTAATGAGATGCATGCAGCAATCACTGTCAAGTGTGTTGATTTGTGAGGGGCTTTCTACTGGCATTAGAAGTCAAAAGTATCCCCTTTTCTTCACTGCCTAATTTATAGTAGAAAGAATTTCAGATACAGATTTGGACCTGAAATGGAATGAACTCAAAAGATAGAGATAGGCCCAAGCTGGGAAGCTTGGATCTGGAGCCAAATGTGGATTTTTTTTAAAGCTCATGGGCTTTTAGCTCTACGGTGGAGGCACAGGAAACTCAGAGGCCATTGCCATGGACCATCTCCACATGGGACACGTATCTTTCCACATAGCTTCCCAGTCTCTTTGAAAGGTTGGCTCCAAAGTTCGCCACTGACTGTGCCCCCTCTTCTGTACCTGCTGTATATTCTGCTCCAGGGGAGGGTGTGAATTACTGCAGGTGTCTTCCAATCTCTCCTATTGGAGCTGTTCTACTTTGTATAAATAATTAAATATTCATTGGGCAGAAAGCCAAAGAACGATGATAGCCCAGTGGTTGGGGTGCTCAGCTGGGATGTGGGTGACCAAGGTTTAAGTCATGGCTCTGTCTGATTCTCCTACCACCAAGGTGAGTGCCCTAACCATCAGTTATTGCTAAGGCTGTGAGTTTGTCACGGTGGTCACGGAAGTCATGGATTCCATGAGTTTCCGTGACCTCTGTGACTTCTGGAGTGGCTGGTGTGCCTGGCTCAGGGGCAGCTCAGGCAACCCTTGCCAAAGTCGCACGAGCCGCTGCTGAGACAGTCTCGGGTCACTGTGCAACCCATCCCCCAGCAGCAGCAGAGTTTGCGTGTGGGAGGGGGCAGGGGGTTGGGGGAGGGAGTAGGGGGCACAGGACAGGGCTTACCTGGGGGCTCCACGGAAGTGGCAACATCCCCCTTGTTCAGCTGCTAGGTGGAGGCATGGCCAGGCAGCTCTGCAGTCAGGAGGCTATTTTAGTCTATTCCAATCTTATGGCTGGAGCCACCAGGTGGCAATGTCACTTAGTCTTACAATTTATTTTTCTTATCGTACAAATAGTGTCCAGTCTTTGAAGAAATGCTGTATTGTTGTTAGTTGTGCTTTGAAATTTCTTTTTGGGGGAGCTGTGGCAAGCAGTAAGGCAGTTTGCTCTGTGCCTTAATTCCTCTAACTAGAGTCAATTCTTGGAGACAGAGTTGCTCTCTAAGAACTGGGCAATGATTCTTATGCTGAGGTTCCTGAAAGAGGGGATTGCCTGCATGCTGTTTGCGACCACCTCTGTTCAAGAACTTATGTATATAGTGTAAAATGAACAAGCTGAACTAAGAATATACCCAGACTCTCATTTCTCTTCCAATGGGAAGCCAATCTGCAAGGCCTCTACAACTTGACTGAGAGGTGACACAATTCTGATCTATTCATATTCTGATCCTCTGCCAGTTAACATGGTATTTGAGCAGGAGAGCCACTGCTCTCTTGACACATTTTTCTCCTTTCTGCAGCATGCTGTGGAAGAGAGCATGTGGCTCTCTGGGAGGAACTTCTGAGCCAGACAGGCAAGCAAGGTGATATGTGTGCTATAAATACTTAGAGAAACAACCCAGATGAGATGTATACATCTCTAGAAAGAAAGAGATTTTTGTGTTTGCTTTTTTATGAAAACCTAGATAGAGATGTATGCATAGAGAGAAGAGACTAAGAGGTGGGGAAAGAGGATATAATAAGTGGAGCTTTGATTACAGAACAGAGCCATCATGTACAGTGTCTTTGTGAAACTGGCTTAGAAAAACAATGTGTATTTGAGCAATTGTCTCCCTTGATTCTTCTTCTTAACAGGAGCAAATGTGAACATCACAACAAACAATCAGGATGAAGAGACTCCCCTGCACACAGCTGCACGTTTTGGCATCCCTGAACTGGTGGCATTTTATGTGGACCAAGGAGCAAATGTTGATGCTGTCAATGCCCACATGGAAACTCCACTGGCCAGTGCAGCTTACTGGGCCCTTCGCTTTAAAGAGCAGGTGTACAGCATGGAACACCACCTAATCTGTAGGATGCTGTTAGACTATAAAGCTGAAGTTAATTCTCGAGATGAAGATTTCAAATCACCACTCCACAAGGCTGCCTGGAACTGTGACCATGTGCTGATGCATGTATTGCTTGAGGCTGGGGCTGAAGCAAACCTGATGGACATCAATGGCTGTGCCCCCATACAATATGTTCTGAAAGTGACATCCGTGCGGCCAGCTGCCCAGTCTGAAATCTGCTACCAACTTTTACTTAATCATGGAGCAGCTAGAATATATCCTCCACAGTTCCACAAGGTGAAGGATGTATTTGGTGCAATGGTGCTACTCTAGAGTAAAGTTAGAGTGAAGTTAGAGTGAAGAGATGATATTTTGATCTGGATTAGCTTTTTGGGACCGATTCAAAGTTCAGATTTGAGTTCAAATAAGGTTAGGGTTTGAATCAGGATCTGATGGTGCCAAAACCTTGTGACTTGTTCTTGTGAGACTTTGGCCCAAAATGACAAAAATCTTGCAAGATCAGCTATTCTCTTGATATTTTCACCTTCTCATTGTTCCAAGAGAACAGCTACTGATGTCAGAAATAGACCCCTTTTGGTTTTGAAGCCAACCAGAAACCAAAACTGTAAGTGTTGCTTCAAATCTAAGGTTTCAGATCTTCCCTCATCTCAGATATACTGATATGCCTTAGTCAACCTAAATTACTGGGCTCAATATAGGGGGAACCAGGTGACATTTAATGGTTTGTGATATATAAAAGAGGCCGGAGAGGGTGATCTACCTCCTGAGATGACCTCCTGAGGTCTCTTCCAACCCTAATATTCTATGATTCTACCAGTCTCTTCTGGCCTTGAAATCCATGAATTTATGATGAATCAACCCTGAAATTCAAAGGCATCACATTTGAGTTTTAGTCGTCTTCTAACATGCAGTATAAATGGGTAAAGCCAAAGAAGATGGTTGACTAGAGGGTAGTGGGGAGGAAGATCAAATTATGTGCAAGATATTCCTCAAAGACTTTCTAAAAGTCTGCAAAGTCCAGGGCACTCATCAACATGGGTTACATAGATATATATATATATATATCATTACTCAAGGTGAGGAGAGGGCTTTCTGTACCGAGTATGGAATACAGTATGAACCTGTCTATGCTAGCACCTAAAGTGTTTTCACCACTGTTTGAGGAAGTTCCAATGGCAAGACCAGCTTGTTTTCATAGTATAGACTGGGCCTTCCCTTGAGAGAGTATTGCGTAGAGGACTGAGAGTCAGGCCTCCTGTGTTTTTATTTTTGTTTCTGCCACTGACCTGCTATGTGATAGTGCATCAAGTCTCCATGCCATCATTTAACCACCTGTAAAATATGTAATGTGATACTTTAGCTCATAAGGGTGCTCTGAGGCGTACATTATTAATGCCTGCACAAGGCTGTGCGGAAAGGTAAGCATGCAATAAATGCAAAGTGGTATTGCATGAATGTGAGCAAGGGCAGGATTTGGTCCACTCTCAATTAACAAACCATATTAGAGTCAGAGCTGTGTCCAGGGCTCTTGCATGATTTAAAAGCTTGACTTTATACCTATTTATAACAGTGCTATTTTCCTTCCTTCCTTTTACAGTGTTTGTCGGGGCAGGACTTTTGTTCGTATTCAAGGACCTGTTCTCTGCTCAGGCATGAATGAAACTCCTGTGATTAACATTCATCAGAGTTATGCCCTATGTGGGGGAAGGGGAGTGGGGGAATTGTTAGTACATTTGTGACTGACGGCCTTGAGAAACCAGGGAGAAGATTGCTTCCATTCATGAAGGTACACTGTAACCCAGATGTGGTCTAAGGGATAACGCAGTGGGGTAGGAACTGTGAGAACTCTTTTCTATTCTTTACTGTGGCACTGATCTGCTGTGTGAACAGGGGCAAGTAATTCATCTCTTTCTCTTCTCCAACCTTCAGTCTGCCCTGTCTATTTAGATTGTAAATTATTCTCTTACTATGTCTTTGAACAGTGCCCAGCACAACAGGACACAGATCTCAGCTGCAGCCGGTAGGTGCTACTGAAATTTAAAGAATCATAATTTCTGCTTCCCTCTTGCAGGTGTTGCAGGCCTGTCATTCCCACCCAAAAGCCATTGAGATTGTCATTAATTCATACGAACACATCAAGTCAACATCAAAGTGGAGAGCAGCTGTACCTGATGACGTCTTTGAGGTAAGCTTTTAATGAGCTTCCACTTATGTTTGCAATGTTTGCATCCCTAACATTTCCACCCAGTCACAGAAAAGTGATTGTAATTACAGATAATGCTTTGGAAAGCCTAATCCAAGAGGACAGGATGAGTATTTTATAAAATGGCTTGCACACAGAAACAGGAAAGAGAGAATGCAGTGCTGGTTCTAAGCAGTGGCACTGAGAATTTCAGAGCTATGTGGAATATTCAGGCTATATTGCAACTTTAAGTCACAGTTCATTTTTGAACAGGGTATCGGAGGGAGCACACAGCAGGAAAAATAGAGATACTTGACATTTTTCATGTGGAAAGTTTTCTCACAAAAAAATACTGTATGGTCAACAATGATATTTTTTCTTTGTCAGAAAATACACATTCTGAGTCAAAAAAATTGAAGGAAAAAATCTAAGGGAAAAAATTTCCAGCAAGAAATAAAACCAGCATTTTAAAATGAAATGACAAGTTCTGTTTCATTTGGACATAAAAAGTCACCATGTTTCTGATTTTCAGTTTAAAATAAGTAAACAAAAGGATTTGCCGCGTCAACATGTTGCTTTGAAATGACAGATTTTCAGTATTGACGTTTCTGAGTCAGAACTTTTCAGAATTTTTCATTCTGTTAATTTCTTTTTTTGATATTTGAACTTCCTATTAGGATTTGGAACAGAAACTAATTTCAAAATGTCAAAATTTCCTGTGGAATGGAAATTCCATTTTCGGAATTTTTCTAAGTAACAGTCCCTAGAGGTTTCAGAGTAGCAGCCATGTTAGTCTGTATCTGCAAAAAGAAAAGGAGGACTTGTGGCACCTTAGAGACTAACAAATTTATTTGAGCGTAAGCTTTCGTGAGCGACAGCTCACTTCATCGGATGCATGCAGTAGAAAATACAGTGGGGAGATTTATATACACAGAGAACATGAAAAAATGGGTGTTACCATACAGACTGTAACGAGAGTGATTAGGTAAGGTGAGCTATTACCAGCAGGAGAGTGGGGGGGAAAACCTTTTGTAATGATAGTCAAGGTGGGCCATTTCCAGCAGTTGACAAGAATGTGTGAGGAACGGGGGTGGGGGGGCAGGAATAAACACGGGGAAATAGTTTTACTTTGTGTAATGACACATCCACTCCCAGTCTTTATTCAAGCCTAAGTCAATTGTATCCAATTTGCAAATTAATTCCAATTCAGCAGTCTCTCGTTGGAATCTGTTTTTTAAGTTTTTTTTGTAGAGGAATTGCCACTTTTTGGTCTGTAATCAAGTGACCAAAGAGATTGAAGTGTTCTCCAACTGGTTTTTGAATGTTATAATTCTTGACGTCTGATTTGTGTCCATTTATTCTTTTACGTAGAGACTGTCCAGTTTGGGCAATGTGCATGGCAGAGGGGCATTGCTGGCACATGATGGCATATATCACCTTGGTAGATGTGCAGGTGAACGAGCCTCTGATAGTGTGGCTGACGTGATTAGGCCCTATGATGGTGTCCCCTGAATAGATATGTGGACACAGTTGTCAACAGGCTTTGTTGCAAGGATAGTTCCTGGGTTAGTGTTTTTGTTGTGTGGTGTGTGGTTGCTGGTGAGTATTTGCTTCAAGTTGGGGATTGTCTGTAAGCAAGGACTGGCCTGTCTCCCAAGATCCGTGAGAGTGATGGGTCGTCCTTCAGGATAGGCTGTAGATCCTTGATGATGCATTGGAGAGGTTTTAGTTGGGGGCTGAAGGTGGCAGGTGGCATTTTGTTATTTTCTTTGTTGGGCCTGTCCTGTAGTAGGTAACTTCTGGTTACTCTTCTGGCTCTGTCAATCTGTTTCTTCACTTCAGCAGGTGGGTATTGTAGTTGTAAGAACACTTGATAAAGATCTTGTAAGTGTTTGTCTCTGTCTGAGGGTTGGAGCAAATGCAGTTGTATCGTAGAGCTTGGCTGTAGACAATGGATCATGTGGTGTGGTCTGGATGAAAGCTGGAGGCATGTAGGTAGGAATAGTGGTCAGTAGGTTTCCGGTATAGGGTGGTGTTTATGTGACCATCGCTTATTAGCACCGTAGTGTCCAGGAAGTGGATCTCTTGTGTGGACTGGTCCATGCTGAGGTTGATGGAAATTGTTGAAATCATGGTGGAATTCCTCAAGGGCTTCTTTTCCATGGGTCCAGATGATGAAGATGTCATCCATGTAGCACAAGTAGAGTAGGGGCATTAGGGGACGAGAGCTGAGGAAGCGTTGTTCTAAGTCAGCCATAAAAATGTTGGCATACTGTGGGGCCATGTGGGTACCCACAGCAGTGCCACTGATTTGAAGTGTCATTACACAAAGTAAAATTATTTCCCCATGTTTATTCCCCCCCCCCCACTGTTCCTCAGACGTTCTTGTCAACTGCTGGAAATGGCCCACCTTGATTATCACTACAAAAGGTTCCCCCGCCCCCCGCTCTCCTGCTGGTAATAGCTCACCTTACCTGATCACTCTTGTTACAGTGTGTATGTTTCATGTTTCATGTTCTCTGTGTATATAAATCTCTCCACTGTATTTTCCACTGCATGCATCCGATGAAGTGAGCTGTCGCTCACGAAAGCTTATGCTCAAATAAATTTGTTAGTCCCTAGAGGAACTCTGGCTGAGCCAGACACAGTTTCTTGAGGGCATGGGAGCTCCATTATCCTTTAAGTCAGTCTAGCATGTGTTGATCATGCCCCAGTTCATCTCTGCTGGCTAGGATGGAGGGAAGCGGGAGGCTGTGGCTCCTTCCACTTTGGAAAGCTTCGTGCCATTGCTGCTGCTAGGTTCATGCAGTCTTTGCTGTCAAGGAGAGCAAGGATTGTGACTGTGGCTGACCCGTCTGCGGGGAACCTCAATGGGTAGATTTCTAACATCAGTTAATGGTATAAAAATGCCATGTTGCAGGTATGTGACACTGCATGTTTTTGAGCCCTGTTATGGTATTTCTGGCAATTTGGTCATCGCTCCAGAAGGAGATTCATGTATAGACATCCATAAATAAGGCTGCTGTATGAAAACAGAAGGGGCCTGGAGTGGGGGTAATTTAGATGAAAAAATTCAGCATAAATGTACCCTGAGTCTCCTCAGAAACAAGGAATAACTCCACTGAAGTCAATGGAGGAACATCAATGTGAAGCTGTTATAAATGGGATGGATATTGTAATAGAATGAGCAACTATATTACACTATTCTGCCACTAGGTGGCACTGCGTGTAAGAGACTTTATTTAAAGGTAATCTTAGACATACCTGGCAGTGCATTACAGGATCTTATGATGAACACATCTGGTGTAGATAAGCAAGCTCTTTAGGTAGTCCATATCTGGTACAGAAGTACATGACATGGTATTAGCAGTGGGATTAAGAACAGAAACAAAAGGAAAACAGCAACAAAGGTTGCAGACAGAGGGAACAAAGGTTGAAGGATCTCATCAACACACCACTCTTCAATGCCCCGGAGAACTTCAGCTTTGACACATTTTCAGAAGAGACAGAACTGGAAGCAGTATTTTGCAAGATTTCACATTGCTACCAAGCTCCACAAGGAAACTAATGCTATACAGGTATTTTCTTTAATATATGCTGTAGGGAAGCAAGCAGAGCATATCTTTAAATCCTTTTACTTTACTGATGACAGTCACAAAGATGACTATGAAAGGGTTCTGGCTATGTTTGATTCATACTTTATATCTCAGAGAAATATGAAAAAGCATGTTTTCACCAGAAAATTCAAGGACCAGGGGGAAATGATGAATGTCTTATTGTAGCTCTGCATGCAGTGGCTGAAGACTGATTTTGGGGAAGCAAAACAAGAAAATACCAGAGAAAGTCTTTCACAGATGCTACAATGAAGAGAGATCTAACTCTAGCCACAGCTATTTCAAATAGCAAAGCAGCCTGAACTGGTGAGGCGGCAACAACATGGGTAACTTGCTAAACTTGACAAATAAGACACTAGGTTGGAAGCTGTGAACAGATGCAGCAGGAGTGCTAAAAGTCATTACCATAAGACCTCTGATGAAAAGAGAAAGAATTCTCAGGCTAAGAGGGACAAATTCCAGCCTACATGCACAAGCTGTGGAAAAAGTCATATCCTAAGAGATGCTGCATGTCCATCCAGAGTCAGATAGTGTATTAAATGCAAGGAGTATGGACATTTTGCAGCTGTTTGGCAGACCAAAGCAGTCAGGGAGTTGACTCATATTACAGACAATCAAGAGCCATTGTTTCTGGGATCTATTATGTGTGAAGACATAGAGCCTGCCAGGAAAGTGAAATTGAATATTCGTGGCAAGATTATTTATTTTAAAATTGACTCAGGAGTTGACATCCCAGTTAGCTCAGAAAGGATTTACAATCACCTTCAACCCCTCCCAGTGCTAAAGTCACCTGACACAGCTCTGACTAGCCCTGAGGTATTCTGAATTGCATGGGCCAGTTCATCACAGAAACAACTTACAAAGACAGAAGCTATGCATTTAGAGTACATGTGCTCAAAAGATCAAAGACCAATAACTTTCCCAGCCACAGCGTGGCAGCCATGATGGGCCTAGTGAGAAAGGTAGAAGAACTGGATGGAGGATTTGATGATCTTAAACTTTTGAAAGGAGACCCAGCACAAATCAACGTAAGAGACAATCTGAACTATACAGTGTAGTGTTTTCCCCAGGAAGTGAAATTAGGGGAGGTATTCAAATTTACGGGGTGGGGAAAACACTTTTTTCCCCACCCCGTAAATTTTTTTTCTTGCTGAAAAAACAATATAATGAAGACATTAAATGTATAGTTTTTTGAATGTCTTTTGAAGAGTCTGCAGCTCGTACTAGCGCTAGTTGGAGTAGATGGCCTCTGCAGTGTGTATAGGAGAGATTAAGGTTACACTTTTTTCTGAGCAAAGCTTGTACTCCACCATGTCATCCAGGGAAGTTTGCAGCTCCATCAAATGCACAAGCAGCCATCTGTCTGGGGTCCAATTGACAAGCATTTAACTCTACTAAGATGTGGGTTGTCACAGATGCAGCTGATGTGTCGTCTATAACTTGAACATCAAGAAATGCATCCACTGGCCTACCACTGACATCAAGATAACGTACACAATGACTTACTACTTGATGCCCATTTGCATCAGTGCGTTCATCAGCCATGTATGCACATTTTTGAATGTGGTGAGAGAGTGCTTCACTTTTTCAACTGTTGAGTATTTCACTGTTGCACCGCATGCTTCTAGCCGGTCAGTTGAGTTCCCTGCAGAAAGACAGTGAGCATCTGCTGGTCTTGTTCAGAACCAGTGTTCAGCTTCAGGATGAACCAGTGACAATGCACTTAACACTGGCCTCCAGTTTGTAGTGTGTGATATCTCCTGCTTAAATAGGAAGTAGGATGCCACAGCCATGTCTGTTTGCATGAACTGTGTTGTGTCTCCAACATTCTTAACAGCCGCATTAACACTCACCGGTGTTGTCCTGGGTCAGTGGAGACTCAGAGTTCAGAGGTGCTCTCACATGAGTTCACCTCCCAGGTGGGGGGCAAGAAGGCACCTTGCTCGTTCCTCCAGCTGCTCACTGTTCGCTCTGGCCACTGTTGTTTATTGTGCCACCGTTCACTCCATTGCTCTATTGCCAATGGCCCTGCGCTGTCACCTTCTGCTGCCACCTGCCACTGTGGCCTCTGCAAGTTGGTCTCTTGAGGTTCCACCCAGCTCTCAGTGATTTCAGCTGAGCTCTCAGTGGGGGACCCTCGCTGCTAGTGCAGACTGGGTCATCTCTTCCACAGAAACACTGTCCCACAGCAGGTCTAAGCACTTAGACCTGATTATCAGTGATTTCAGCTGTAGTGGTCACTTAACAAAACAAAAGACTCTCTATGGAGCCTAATCAGTTCTGTTTGCAAACAATGGAGAGGGGCAGGTCTAATAGTACTTGTGACTCAGGCAGACCATCAAGTAAAACACCTGTCCCCACCCTCTCTCTTGATGCCCTCAATCAGAACAGGTTAAGTACAGTTCTACTGCCCTTTACTCCTACAATAACAACAACATTTCATTACCCCCCTCCCCCCAGCATTCAAGTGATTTGTAACCCAACCCCAGCCAAAAATCTATCACTTGGGCAACACAGCTGTTTGCTGGATATCTAGGTAGATTAGGTGTGAATGTAAATACAATCTGGTCCTGAAGCCTTTCCCCCCAACCGCCAGCTCATCACTAGCTGTCAGGGAGAGCTCATTTAGACTGTGCTTACAAATCATAATTTGAAATTATTAAATTGGCCAACATCACCGACATGAATGCACTGACATTGTCATAAAAAACAGCAGCTGTATAAGGAAACTAGTCTATGTTCATACTTTTCAAATCTATTATACTTATTCAGATACACGTAATTTATCATACACTGTATATGCTTTTAAAGTGTGTATTAATATTTCAATTTCAATTCAAATGTCCAAACAATCACTAAATTGGCAACACTGCATGCAACTAGTTCACAAACCTGGGGGGTGAGGTGGGGAGGTTGGGAAAATTCAGGGGGGGTGTCAGAAAATCCCTCCGTACAAACACCTCTACCAGAGAGAGCTTGGAAGAGACTAGTTACAGATTCATGCAAATTCAGAGGACAGCATTACCTGTTCACTGGGCACTATTTTTCCAACTATATAGAAATTTTGTACCTGAAAGACATACTATGTCACAGTCTTATTGAGAAACTGAAGTGCCTGGTTGCTCACATCAGTATTCCAGAACAACTAGTGATGGGTGATGGACCACAATTCACTACAGCAGCATTTAGGACAGTCCAAATGAAATATGATTTTGATCATATTATTAGAAGACCACATTACCCACGAATGGAGAGGCTGAGAGTGCTGTATAGGCAGCCAAGAAAATCCTACAGTAGGAAGATCCATTCCTTGCTCTTCTGAGCATAGGCATAATTTGACTTCTATATTTGGGGGGCAGGGCCTGGCAGGGCTGGGGCCAGCTCCACATGGCAGGGCCTGGAAAGGGAGTGCCACCTCCACCCCCTGACTCCTCTTAGCAGGCCACCCAGCCTGTCTGGGTTGGGCGGGGGGCACAATCAAAAATTCTAACTCAAAAGGGGAGTCAAGGGCTCAGCTCAAAAACTTTGAAAACCACTGAAAGGGTGCATGCAGGGAGTAGCTAGGGGCTGTGTGCAGTGAGGGGTGTAGCTCAGGGTGCAGGGAGGGGGTTAGCTTGGGACTGTGTGCCAGGAGGGCCCTCTTGTGGTAGCTGTTCCCTGAGGGCTCTGTTGACCCCAGAGCCTGGTTCTGCCCTGCCTGTGGGCAGTTCTTACCCACTGCTTGGGCAGTCAAAAAGGGCTGGGAGTTTAGGAGCATCCACAGCCCTGGACGCCAGCAGTAGGAGATGGAGGAGCACCACATCTGCCTGCTCCATGGCATCAGCCAGAGAAGCAGCCACCCTGACTGCCCAGCTCTGGTTTCCTGCCTCCGACCTGACCATGGCATGGGGTGTCAGGGAGAGGAAGAAGAAGAATAAAGATGTGTGTGTGTGTATGTGTGCGTAGCTGCCCCTGGGCCTGTCCCGCTCTGGTTAAGGCACTGCAGGCTGGGGGGACAATGCCCCTGCCATGCCTCCCCCAAATGCCACTCATGCTTCGAGTTACAGATCAACACCAATAGTGGCTACTAGATATAGTCCAGAACAACTCCTGGTGGGAAGACAACTCAGAACTACTGGTCCTATTTTGGAAAACAACCTATCTCCATAGTGGCCAGAAAGAGTAGCCAAATCGGATGAAAGGGTTAAATGAGTTTATGAACACTTTTACAACAGATGTCACTCAGTTAGAGAACTGCCGGGTCTAGAACGTAGGTGACTGTGTTTCTGTCAAATTGGATGGAGAAAAAGGATGGACAACTCCAGGTGCCGTAAAGCGAAAGAATTCAGCGCCCAGATCAAATGCGATCAAGTCCAGTAGTGGAGAGTTCAGCAGAAGTCACTGACATCTACAATTTGTTCCTCAGGAAGAACAATCAACAGAGCAAACTCTACAGATGGCAGATACAGAAGAAGACTCAAGACAGTCATTGCAACTAATGGACAGCCAGATGACCAAGCTGTTACGTGTTTGTGTCACGTAATTAGAAAACCTGCATGATATTGAGACACTTCACAGACTGATAGGTCCTGAACTTCAAGATAATGGGATAGTGTAAGTTCTGTAAATGGTAGGAAAGCAGCTCTTACAGGGGGAGATGGAATGGAATGCCAAACTGGATTATACTATTCTGCCTCTAGGTGGCACTGCATATAAAATACTTTATTTAAAGCTAATCTTATTAAAACCATGCCTGACAGTGCATTAAAGGAGTTTATGATGAACACCTCTGATGTATATAAGCAAGCTCTTTAGCCAGGCCATATCTGGTACTGAAGTGCATGACAAATATCAGACCCAAAGATACTTTCAGCTGTTCTTAAACTCAGGCAGCCCTGAAAGTCTGAGCCAGATGTAGGGTATGTCTGCATTTCAGTCAAGCTAGTTTGGGTACTAATAGCAATGAAGCCACATAGTATGGGCTTTAACGTGGGCTGTACAAGCACACCTAGGACCCGGAGTAATTATTGCAGCAGCTGGTCTACGATAAAGTCTCTGCTGCCGCAGCTTCACTATTACCAGTATTTGAGCTAGATTAAAGCTAGTTTGGGTGTGTCTACACAAGTTGGAATCATGCCCGTGATGTGGTGTAGACACTGCTCAGTGAAATGAATATGTCATTGCTGCAAAATGTATCATTGAACCATGAGATGGTTATAAGTGTTTTCTCCAGATTTGCCTAGTTGTATGGGAGATAGGATTTTATTGACCTAAAATACATTTTGTTTTGTCTTTGCAGAGGCACAGAGATTTCTACGACTCTCTGTTCACCGTGTGCAGTAATTCACCACGGTCGCTCCTGCATTTATCTAGATGTGCTATTAGACGATTATTGTTCAAAAGATGCCACAAAGGAGTCCCTTCACTTTCCATTCCACCTCCACTGAAGAAGTACTTGCTATTAGAACCCGAAGGAATAATTTATTAAGCCTTAGCAGAGCAGACTCAGTGATCTGATAGGACCTGCAATCTCTGGGTCTGCACGCATGTGGAGGGAATTACCATCAGGGAGTTTTCACTAGGGAGACTCAGAGTTCTTGGCAAAATTCTTATGCAAAGAAGGATCTGGTTTCATAAATATCAATGCCGAACTCTCTCTCCATTATATATACTGATCCTTTGTTCAATCTAGTTTTAAATGAACTGAACCAAGTGCAACTTCCACCACTTTACTTAGATAGCGATTCCACTGTCTATTAGGTATCACTGTTGAGAATGTTTTCCAGATATCCAACACAAAGTGCCGTTGATATTGTTTCAATTTAATTTTCTTCAACCATCATCTCAGGAAGAAGAAAACAGGATAGTGTCAGAAAAATATCTTTCTCATTAGAGTCAGCTACACCTTTCCTCAGAAATAAAAAGATCAAAGGGCTTTGAATGAGGCCCATAGACTGAGTTACTGTATTTTAAGAAGTTTTCCTATCGATTGCCACTGAATTGGATGTTAGTTTATTATATGCTGCATTGCATCATATCATATAATGTTTTGTCATTCACTGTAATTGCATCACTGTGCAAGTGGAGCAAAGAAGAGATGAGTAGTGTTTACATTCATATCTGTGTGTGATGAAATTCCTACTTGTGTGTGTAACGTGTATCATTCACTAACCTTGCATGCTGCTGAAGCGGTCACCATCACTGCTGAACTGCATCATATGGTAACTATGGCAGGTCACCATTTCAGCTCAGCCCACAGCTCATAAATTCAGGTCCTAGAGAGGAATCTGGAGAAATTGCTGAGTTGATGGTACTGCAGATCTTTTTACTAGCTGTATCTCTTGTTTGTCCACATCAGGCTGGATCCTGCATGTTGCCAAAGAAGAGTACATGATAAAAAATGAAGAGTAGGTCTGGGGCACAGAGAACCTCATCCTGAAGTAATAAGAGTGATGCTGTATCCTGCCTAATAGCAGAAAAACAGGCATAAGAGGGGAATGCATAGCAAAATGTCTTTTTAGGATGATGAGAATCATGCATAAGCTCATGTCTCCTCAGAGCCATATAAGGGGCTTGAGTCGTAGTGACACATAGGGTATGTCTACACTGCAATTAAAACCCGTGGCTGGCCTGTGCGAGCTAACTCAGGCTCACGGGGCTAGGGCTGGTTCATTGCAGTGTAGATGTTCGGGCTAGGGCTGGAGCCCAGGCTGTAGGACCCTCTGAGGGGGGAATCCCCAGAGCACAGGCTGCAACCCGAGCCTGAAGGTCTACACCTCAGCTAAACAACCCCACAGCCTGAACCCTGCGAGCCTGAGTCAGCTGTCCCGGGCCAGCTGTGGGTGTTTAATTGCAGTGCAGACCTACCTCAGTGCATACTACTATGCCTAGCCCTTCAAATCAGATGCACCCCTGTGTACCCTCCAGTTGTATCTGTTGAAGAGCAACAGCTTACCACAGCCTGCTGTGCACCGATGACAAGAACTTACTGGATCAACCCTGAAAAGTAAAGCAGAATAACTACAGCAAGCCTGGCTCCTTCTTATTTATCCTGAGCAATAGGAATTACATTGCAGTCAGAGAGGTGGTATGGTCTGAGAGGTGAGGTGCTTCCATTTTATTCCTGGCTCTGCTACTGAGGTTTTGTCTAACCCTCGGCTAGTCACTTATCTCCCCTATGCTTCAGTTTCTCCATCTCTATAAAAGGGGCAACAATTCCTCCTTCACTGGGTGTGATGGATTATACCCCTTAGGAAGCCACCTGATGTGCTAAGATACTACTGAGACTACCTGTTCTGCCAGCATGGGCCCCCTTAAACCTGTCTTGCTGAGCCAGGCTATTAAAGCTTCTGCTAACACACACACAGGCAGGACCACACCCAGCTGCAGTTCAGCTCTGGGAAGACGCAGCTTAAGGGACTTGCTCCAACGCTCTGGTGTTCACTCCTTTTAAGGGGTACAAACACAAAGGTTTTATGAAATTCGCCCCCTCCCTCAATGTGAAGAGCGGTGTGCACACTTCTTACCCCCCTCCCCCATTAGAAATTACAGAAACTGGGTTTAATAATAAACAAAACAAATTTTATGAACTATAAAAGGCAGATTTGAAGTGGTAAAAGGGGTAACAAACAGAACAAAGCAGTTTACTAAGCAAATGAAATCAAACACACAAACTAAGCTAGTTTCACTAAAGAAACTGGTTACAAATAGTATTTCTCACCCTAGATATTGTTGCAGGCACTTTGCAAAGTTTCTGTGGTTCAGAGTTCCAGTTATATTCCTTTTCAGACTGCACCCCTGTCTCAATCTGGACTCCCCCATTGCCTTCCCTTCAGGTGGCTTTTGCAGTCTTTCTTCTTGGGCAGACAGCCATGGAGAGGAGGAGACCTGTTGGCCTTCCTCCCCATCCTTAAATAGGATTAACATAAGGCAGGAATCCTTTGTTTCCCAAACTTGACCACCCTTCCCTTACAGTGGAAAGTTACAAGAAGTCCCAGGTAATGTTTTAGTGTCCGGTGACAAGACCACCTGACTCTGTAGTATCACAGCATCCATGAATCAGTGGCAGGATGGAGTGTCCGCAGGAAGGCCAAGCTTTTCACAGTCTATTGTCCTCACTGAGGGGCCATCCGCCCTGTCTGGCTTTTCTATTGTTGTACCTGAAGTGTTAGCAGTGGGCGTCACCCAAAGTAGCATAGTTGAAATACAGACACATAGTCAATATTCCTAACTTAAGATACAGAAATGATACAGGCATACAAACTGGATAATCATATTCAGTAAATCATAACCTTTCCAATGATACCTCACAAGGCCCATTTTGCATAAAGTATAGCTCAGTTATGTCATATTCATATCATGAGCATATTTTCATAAAGAATATGGAATGACAGGTCACACCGGGCTGTTGTGAGGCTGAATTAATTCATGTAGATGCAATGCTTTAAGTTCCTTCATGAAAAGCACTACCTACAAGAAATATAAAGGAATTGCTGTGTGTGTGTGTGTATGCGTGCCCACGCGCTGTCATTCTCTGCAGGAAGCGAGATGAATGGACTGAGATGAATCTCTCAGTCCCTGGGATGGTGGGGGAGCACATAGGGCAGAAGGAGCCCATAGAATTTATGCTAGAGTATGGACATGTTGTTACCTGACCTGCACATACTTCTTTATCTATTTTGTGTGCTTTGAGCTATCAGGTTCATAGACTCAGCAAAAGGGACTGTGATAAGAGAGGAGTGGGCTCAGAACAGGACTGGGAGCTGGAAACTCCTGGGATCTGATTGTAGCACTGAGTCTGATGCCTTGTTTTGTGAAGGTGGTGGTGGTTGTTGTGTGTGTTGTAGCTGATTTCTTCACGGTAGAGCCCAGAGTATGCTAAGTGTTTTCCAGACATATGAGAAAGGCCAGCCTGCTTGATTTCTCTGCCTCACTTTACTTGTCTGAAAATGGAGATAGCAACACTTACAGAGATGAATGGAGTAGTTAATATTTAGAAAACCCTTTGATGATTGAAAGCACTGCATGGAAGGGCTAAGAATTATTATTATATTATTATTAAAGCAGTTTGACCTAACAACTGACCTACCTTGAAAGTTTTCCTATAGTATAGTTCCCACCTTCCAGATGCCTGAATTGTATTTTTAAACCAATCTTTACTCTCACCCAAATATAAAAATGAAACAATAATAATCATACCTAGGTCTTATAAAGCACTTTTCATTAGTAGATAAAAGGAGGTCAGCATCATTATCCCCATTTTACAGATGGGAAAACTGAGGCACGGGGCAGCAATTTGATTTGCTGAAGGTCATCCAGCAGGCCATTGACAGAGCCGGGACTATAACCCAGGCCTGCTGAATGTCAGTCTAGTGCTCTAGCCCCTTATCTGATTTACTTTTGTTTCATCTTGCTGTGAACTAAATCAGAGAATGTGCACTGTGATAGGAGAGAGCACTGGTTTGTTTACATTTAGCTAGACAGTAACTCAGCTTGTTAGTTAACATTGTCTGATTCAGGCAGATGCTTTCAAAGAAGAATAACATTGATGATTTTAATAAAAACACATTTCCCTTCTGAATAGAATGGGGCATGTAGTGTACTGAGCGTTTACAGGGCCCCCTACTCACTGAAACTAAGCAAGGATTCTTGAAAGGTCTCCGTGATATTGAACTTTATTAATGTTTTCATAGACATGGCCGGGAACGGCAAACTGCGGCCACTGGAAGCTGCGAGCAGCCATACCTGCGGATGCTCAGGTAAACAAAGCGTCTCGCAGCCCGTCAGGGGCTTACCCTGAACAAGCCGCGAACCAAGTTTGGGAACCCCTTCACTAAGGCCTAGTCTACACTACTGCTCTAAGTCAATGTAAATTATGCTAATTAAGTGACATACATAATGTAACGTAAGTCAATGTAGCTTACATCGACTTAAAGCGGTGTCTACACTGCTCAGTCGACGGGAGATGCTCTCCTGTCGACGTAGCTTCCGCCTCTTGTTGAGGTGGGTTAATTAAAATGATGAGAGAGTGCTCTCTCATCAATTTATCACATCTTCACTAGACCTGCTAAATTGATGCCGCTGCATCCATTGCAGTGGCGCCAATTTAGCCTGTAGGGTAGACAAGATTTGCAATTTTTTTTGTCAGTAGCCAGTTGTGTTTATTTAGCATCAGAATAATCCACTTCATGTGGTCTCAGCTTGAAGCAATCAGCTGAGATTTGCACAGAGGAATTTGAAAGAAACCCTGGAAAAGGTTAGGTTGTTTAAAAAATAATATCTTTTATAGGAAACATATCTGCATCAAAGGGGGATCAGAGAAAGGCTCTGCAATCAGAGCAGGGTGAGATAAGACTGTCTTCTAAGTGAATTAATTTATAAATCTGATGGCTGTGTGAGCCTTTGTAGTCAGTAGAAGACAGAATGAGATCACTAATTTTATTTGAACTACGCTGGTTAAAGAGGTGTGATTCTGCATCTGGAAGAGGGAGGTCTAAGGGAGAACAATAGGGTTTTTTATGACCTGTCATAGTCAGGACTCCCTTGCTGAGAGAGAAGAAAAAAGGCTGTCAGCACTGTTCCTAAATTCCCTCCTATCCTCCCGCTTTGCAATGCGCACACTTGTTTTTTATTCTGTGGGCACCCAGCCTCACTTCTAAGCTTTGTACCAACCAGGTGCCAGATTATAGCCATTGTGGGATCTGACAGGGAGCACAGTGGGATCAGGCTGATTATAATTATAGGAATTTGCAAGCTGTTAAAAACACTGAAGAACATCAGTATCCCAGAAAAGCCAATTGATATACTTGGACTGCATTTTTTGTTTTAAGGGAGCCCAACAGTAAATGAACCTAGTTATTTGTTAACTTGAGAAATTTCAGCATTTCTTTTTGCTGTCTCATTCTCTCCTCCCACATGCTTACTGGAAAGCCCCGAGTGAGACACCTGGTGGGTACCTGGACCTGGTTCATTATTTATTTAGCTGAGAAGATACATTTATTGTTGATTCTAACTGACTGCAAGTCCCTGGCACTTGCAAACTATCAAACAACTCCCGGAATTGTTGTTGTTGTTTTTTTTATATACTTTTA